TAGAAGTATTATAGGTTGTCAATGGCCTTACTCGACGGGCAGAATATGAGTGTCTTTAACACTATATAAAAACAAAAAGAACTTCTATGTTCGTGCTGTAAAATATTACTAAAACCAGCCAAATGAATTGCGTTTCACCCATATGTGACGAATCTGTACCGATTCAATACAATGTCTATGGCGGTGGACGATCATGACATAATGACATAACTTACAGATTATATATGCCTTACTATTAAAAAAAAAAATAAGGACAAACAATCATGCAAACCCTACTTGTTTGCGAACTTGAATGTTCTTGTAGCCGCACATAACGTACTTCAAAAAACTATGTATGGGGTAGTACTTCCATGCCTCTACGGAATACAAATATATCCAATAACGTTTCTAGTGTCAGACGACGAAAAATTATATTGAATGTATTGTTTCGTCTAATCAAATGAGCGTTAGGTCCGTAGCTGAAATTACCAAATGTTGCCAACAGAAAGACGCTAAATAATAGTAACAATAGTAGTAATAATAAAATTAAATAATGTTAAATAGTGTTTTTTCGTTCAAACACAAACAGTGACTGTATTATGTTCTGTGTAATGATTATAACAGATGATTGATTACCTATTGTGCGTAATTAATAATTAATTGTCCGATCTATACGTTGATATTTCATGATTGTTTACTCGATACTTTAATCCTTATATCTGTATAATGTAGTTGTTGATTATATTATGTGTACAAATTGATTGTAGTAGCAAAGATAAAAAAAAAAAAGAAAACAGTAGGCAGCTATAGAAAAGTTAGTTCAGCTACTTCTTAGCAGTTGCCTATACTTACATGTATAAAATATATCATTATTATCACTAAAATATATCATTATAGCTCACTCATTATATTTTATTTATAGGGCGTATGTAAGGAATTGATTTATTCAGTATTATCCTTCCGTCTAAAGACTTTTCTATGTACATCACTTACAAGCATCGACAAAGGGCCTCGTATTACAATCAACTTGAAATTAGGTAAAAGGGCTTATCGAGCCTTTTCTACAAACTAATATTTTATTCTGATTTTGTGCTTCAGTAGGAGTGTTTGTGGTGTAAGAAGTCTTCGTACGCTGACTATCTATTTCGCAAAGTTAGACCGCATTATTTGATCAATTTTTTTCTACTGCCAAAATTAAATAATTCAAACATAGTCATTATGAAGTGCCAGTTAGACGGTGCTATCCACCGCTGCAGCTGCAGCTACAGATGGGAAAACTTGCTAAACCTTTGGCTTCAAACAAACATTCGTTCTACGGCTACGCTGTTTATGCAGTGAAACGCCATTATACATTTGGGTCCCGTTGGTCAAATTATTCTATCTAGAAATGATAATACATGCAATCGTTATAAGCAGTTTTTCGACTTCGACACTTAAATTTGCACAATCGTAACATACCTTGCATCTGCTGAGCTAATATCCAAGTTAACATAGTACAAGCGACTTATTCTCAAAGCCTTGTCCGCTTTGGCAATGTATATTTTTGATCCATCATTCGCAAAAAGATAACTATCATATAGGTGCGACGTGGTCTTGATGGCTAATACGCATTTTTTTTGAGTGCGTTCACATGACACTCAAAAACATGCGAAAATCGCTGCCTTGGAATGCTGCAAATGGAAAATGCTACCCTGGCATATGTCGCCTGCCATATATTAGCCGTATCAGCGTCCTCTAACGACTACTAGGTTAGTAAGGAGCGATCCTCTAGTAAGTGAACCCAATACCGAAGTTACCGACAAAAATGAGCGAAATTTCCTGCGCATTCTTTGGGCTAGTTGAATAGCTAACTCGTTGAAATTCACCCATTTACAAAGAGAAAAAAGCTCTTTGGGTAAAGCTTGACAATGCCTCCAAGACGATGTGACAGGTCAATTGATTTGACTTTCGCACGGAAAAGGCAAGTGTCCAAATAACGTCGGTTGTGGGGTTGAGGACGACAGCGACAATAGAACGTCTCCGGTCGAGGGGGCTAAAGATGATCGGCCTGGCGATCTTAATGTGATGCTGTTGCAAATGAAAATTGAAAATGTATAACGATGCATTCAACGAGTCCGCAGAAGGAACCCAGCTGAGAAAAGAAGTACAAGCAGAACACAAGTGAATCAATGAAAGAGAAACGGACAAGCAACACGAAGCGAGAATAGATTTCGGGGGAAATTGATATCGAATAGAACGATGCGGCACAAAAAATAACTAGCGGACCAAAAAGCACACCCCTTCAATGGCCGCGATAACCCCGGCGTGTGGACAGAAATACGAATTGTATACATTCCACCTTGAAAACAGTGAGTGAGCTACTCATATATGTAGAATAATTAACTTTTAGTTCGCTTGTATTACCAGAATAAAAGCACTATTATTCTAAGCGTCCGCTTAATATTAACAATTACTTGGTAATCAACAACTACACTATATAGATATAAGGAATATCACTATCGATTTAACAATTATGAAATGGTTATTGTGCGATGTACGCATTAATCTTTCACAGTTATTAGCTTAAATTAACTACGCACAATAGTTAGTAATAATCATTACGCAGACACTGCTTGTATTTGAATGAAAGTAACACTGATCGATTTTATTATTATTATTATTATTATTATTATTATTATTATTATTATTGGTACTATTATTTAGCGTCTTTCTGTTGGCAACATTTGGTAATTTTGGCTATGAGCCCAACGCTCATTTGATTAGACAAAACAATACATTCAATATAATTTTTCGTCGTCTGACACTAGAAACGTTATTGGACATGTTTGTATTCCACAGAGGCATGGAAGTACTACCCCATACATAGTTTTTTGAAGTACGTTATGTGCGGCTACAAGAACATTCAAGTTCGCAAACAAGTAGGGTTTGCATGATTGTTTGTCCTTATTTTTTTTTTAATAGTAAGGCATATATAATCTGTAAGTTATGTCATTATGTCATGATCGTCCACCGCCATAGACATTGTATTGAATCGGTACAGATTCGTCACATATGGGTGAAACGCAATTCATTTGGCTGGTTTTAGTAATATTTTACAGCACAAACATAGAAGTTCTTTTTGTTTTTATATAGTGTTAAAGACACTCATATTCTGCCCGTCGAGTAAGGCCATTGACAACCTATAATACTTCAAATTTCATAGTAGGACATTCGATAAAAATGACGGCAAATACGCAAAAAAAATGCTCTGCCAAAATTCTTCTTGCCACTTCTTTTTTATCTATTTTATCTTATATTTATTGTAGTTTTATATATATCTTTTATAGTTTTTTTGTTATCTATTATACCAAAGATAACCAGACCAAAGCATAAAGCCATGACAAAAAAATTGTTGAGTTTTTATTCTGATGAAACTGCTTGCATTGCAACGGGTCAAATCAGCAACGATCAAAATGAAGTAATTTGTTATTCTTCATAAAATACACAATCGCAAATTAATATTTACGTAGACTAGACTTTAAATAGGTTGATGCGGCACTTGCCACTGCGAAATCATTATTTCTCGATAAAAATTTAAAAGACTACTGTATAACAGCGTGTATATATATTTCTATTCAATTTCGTGTTTGCGAATTACAGTATCATAATGCTGGCTTACGTCGTTTATAAAATACTTAACAAACACCAGCTGCTATCTTCAAGCCTGTTAGGTAAGTTCCGTCTAAGCGTCACGATAT